TGAAGAGCTGAGGGACAGCGCCTAGGCCCAGAGTTCAGGCCCCATGACCGGACCCTCCCCCCCCCCAAAAAAAAAAGAATTGTTTTGAGTGTCAGTTTTGGAAGATGAATTCTGGAGGTAGATGGTGGTGATGGTTGCACAACAATATGAACATACATAATACAACTGAAGGGCTAGGAAGGTGGCTCAGTGGTAGAGTGCTTGCCTTGCATGCGTGAGGCCCTGGGTTCAATTCCTCAGCACCATATAAACAGAAAAGGCTGGAAGTGGTGCTGTGCCTCAAGTGGTAGAGTGCTAGCCTTGCACAGAGTTCAGGCCCCATGACTGACAAAAAAGAAACAAATAAAACCTGAACTAAGTTAAAGCAGCTAAAGTGGTAAATTTTTTATAACAGTTTGCCATAATTACAAAAAAAAAATTCCCATCTCAGCCCGAGTTCAAATAATCATTATAATAATTTATTAGTGATAAGCTTTAGAACTGTTGTGTGGTGGATCAAGTTAGGACATTTAGCTTTATTTCTGGGGTTTGAACTCAGGATCTTCCCCCTTAAAAAAAGAAAAAAAAAAAGGCCAATCCAGGCAGGAAAGCCTCTCATCTCCAGTAAACCACCAAAAAAAGCCAGAAGTAGAGCTATGGCTCACGTGGTAGAGGACTAGCCTTAAGAAAAAAAAAATCAGGGACAGCAATCAGGCCCTGAATTGAAGCTTTCAGACCAGCAAGCAGGTCTCTCTCTCTCTCTCTCTCTCTCACACACACACACACACACACACAAACATGCACACGAATTTTTTTTAAGGAACTCTCCCATTTAAGCCACAGTTCTAGCCCCTTTTTCTCATTGGTTATTTCTGAAGTAGTGCTTAGCTTTATTCCTTGGCTGGCCGGGACTGCTATTCTTTCCACTTGTGTTGCTGGTGACAACAGTCAGACACCAAATCACCCAGCCAAAACAAAGCTTCACAGAATTTTATGCCCTGGCTAACTTGAACTGCCACCCAAATAGCTAGGAATACAGGCTAGAGCCACAGGGACCTTGCTTTATTTCTTGATTATTAACACTGTCTCTATTGTTTTCAATGCTGACCAATCTAGATTTTTCTCTGGATATAGTTCTTTGGCTGTTGCAATCAAACATGACTTCATTCTCAACTCCCCATCACGGGCTGGGAAGGTGGCTCAGTGGTAGAGCACATGCCTTTGCATGCCAGAGGCCCTGGGTTCGATTCCTCAGCACCACATAAGCAAAAAGAAAAAAGCCGGAAGTGGTGCTGTGGCTCAAGTGGTAGAGCGCTAGCTTTGAGCTGAAGAGCTGAGGGGCAGCACTCAGGCCCAGAGTTCAGGCCCCACGACAGGACCCAAAAAAAAAACAATCAACTCCCCATCAGTAAATGATTTTGCATGCTTCGTTAGCAAATCAGTTACTCTGAAATATATTCTGATAATATCCTCCTTTACACGTTTTTTTTTGTGGGAAAAAAAATTATAGTAGGATGAGTCCATTTAAAATTTTCAGTATCAGCCGGGCACCGGTGGCTCACCCCTGTAATCCTAGCTACTCAGGCTGAGATCTGAGGATCGTGGCTCAAAGTCAGCCCAGGCAGGAAGAAACTTTCATCTCCAATAAACCACCAGAAGACCGGAAGTGGCACTGTGGCTCAAGTGGTAGAGCGCTTGCCTTGAGCTGAAGAGCTGAGGGACAGTGTCCAGGCCCAGAATTCAAGACCCACAAACGACATCCCCCCGCCAAAAAAAAAATCCAGTATCCTTTATGAGCTAGTCTCATAAGTCAGACTCTTCACTTTTGCAACATCCGGTTGGTTTTATAGTCAGTCTTAGTGTGGGAGGGGACTTTACAAGTACATAAAGACATGAAAACCAGGAGGCAGAGATTGGGGAGGGGAGAATTTTAGAGGGTGATTAATACAATGCCTTTTGAAGAAAAGTGAATCAACAAAAATAATCCTCCTGTAAACATTATCTTTGATTTCTTCCCCCCTCCTTTGACCATAGTAGGGTTTGAATTCAGGGCCCTTACAACTTGCTCAGGTTGGCTGGCACTCTACCACATGAGATACACCTCCAGTGCCCTTTGCTGGGAATTGATAACTTTCCTGCTCAAGTTGGCCTTGAATTACAATCCTGAATAGGTAGGGTTATGAGCCACCAGCACCAGGCTTTTCTTTCTTTTCTTTTTTGTGCCTATCCTCGGGCTTAAACTGCACCATCCCTGAGCTTTTTTTGCTCAAGGCTAGTACTCTACCAACTTGAGCCACAGCCCCACTTCCAGTTGTTTGTTTTGTTTTTTGGTGGTTGATTGGCGATAGGAATCTCATTGACTTTACTGCCTGGGCTAGCATTGAACCAAGATCCTCAGATCTCAGCCTGCTGAGTAGCTAGGATTACAGCCAGAATCACTGACACCCAGGCTTTAATGTAGTCTTTTGATAACCATTTAGCTTCAAAATGTGTAGGCCTGGCTTTATCGCTATTGCCTAACAAATTACTCAAAAGTGGCTTACTTCAACAATTATTTTCTCACGATTTCTGTGGATCAGGAAATCAAATGGCTTTGCTGGGCAGCTCTGGCTTGAAGTCCCTTAAAAGCTTGTCATTAGTTGAAGGTTGAGAATGGAGGATCTGCTTTCCAGTTGACTTTGTTGTTATTGTTTTGTGCCCATCATGGGGCTTGAAGTCAGGACCTAGACTCTGTCCCTGAGTTTTTGTACCCAAAGCTACTTGAACCACAGTCCATTTCTGGCTTTTTGGTGGTTAACTGGAGATAAGAGTCTCAGGGACCTTCCTGCCTGGGCTGGCTCTGAACCTCGATTCTCAGATCTCAGCCTCCTGAGCTCTCCACAAGGCTACTAACATATTCTTGTGGCATAGATGCCAGATTACCCCAGAAAGAATGCAGAAGACTATTATGAAGTCATACCTTTTCACCTTTGTCCCATTCTATTACTCACATAGATAGCCTTAATCCAGTATAGGAACTTACCACAATGAGAGTCACTGGAAACCATCTTGGAAGCTGGTTATCACAATCCAGATCATTATTTTTTCTCCACTACTTGCAATGTATTTAAGCAATTACACCAAGGGGGAAACCCACCAATGAACACTAAAATCTGATTTTATATTGGTGCAACTTTTATTTTCTTATTTACATATACACCCTATGTACACACTACTTTCTATTTGAGATTTCTTTCCTTTAGATATATAAATGTAAATTTAAAACAAGTAAAATAATTTTTTTAATGGATTTATCATCTGGGTGTCGGTGGCTCACCCCCTGTAAGTAAGCCTAGCTACTCAGGAGACTGAGACCTGAGGATCATTGTTTGAAGTCAGATAGGACAAGAAAATCTGTTGGTACTTTTATTTCCAATTAAGACCACAGACATGAAGTTGAGGCTCAAGTGGTAAGATTGTTAGCCTTGAGCAAAAAAGCTCAGAGACAGTGCCCAAGCCCTGAGTTCAAGCTTCTGGACACACACACACACACACAATATTGTAAGCTGAGCAGCAGTGGCTCATTCCTGTAATCCTAACTCCTCAGGTTTGAGGATTGTGGTTCAAAGTCAGCTGGGGCAGAAAAATCCTTAAGACTCTTAATCACAAAATAAGCCACAAGTGGAACTGTGGCATAAATGGTAGCACACCAGCTTTGAGCAAAAATGCTCAGGGACAATAACTAGGACCTGAGTTCAAGACCCTGAAAAAGAAAGAGAAAGAAAGAAAAAAAGAAAGAAGGAAGGAAGGAAGGAGAGAGAGAGAAAGAGGAAAGGGAGAGAAAGAGGGAGGGGGAGGGAGGAAAAAATGAAGGAAAGAAAGAAAATAAAGTGAGGAAGAACAAGAAGGGAGGAAAGAAGGAAGAGCAGAAAAAAAAAATATTGTGCCGGGCACCGGTGGCTCATGCCTGTAATCCTAGCTACTCAAGGCTGAGATCTGAGGATCACAGTTCAAAGCCAGCCGGGGCAGGAAATTCTTATCTCCAATAAACCACTCAGAAAACCGGAAGTGGCACAGTGCCTCGAGTAGTAGAGTGCTCACCTTGAGCTGAAGAGCTGAAGGACAGCATTCAGGCCCAGAGTTCAAGCCCCATGACTGACCAAAAAAAAAAGGAAGCTGAGATCTGAGGATTACAGTTCAAAGCTAGCCTGGCAGGAAAGTCTGTGAGACTCTCATCTCCAACTAACCACCAAAAAGACAGTAGTGGAACTATGGCTCAAGTGGCAGAGTGCTGACCTTGACAGCGCCCAGGCCCAGAGTTCAAGACCCACAACTGACCAAAAAAAAAAAGCTGGGCACTGGTGGCTCACGCTTGTAAACCTAGCTTACTCAGGAGGCTGAGATCTGAGGATCGAGGTTCAAAGCCAGCCCGGGCAGGAAAGCCCGTGAGACTCGTCTTTTTTTTTGGGGGGGTGGGGTGGGGTCAGTCGTGGGGCTTGACCTCTGGGCCTGGACTCTGTCCCTCAGGTCTTCAGCTCAAAGCGAGCACTCTACAGCTTGAACTACAATGCCACTTCCAATTTTCTAGTGGTTTTTATTGGAGATAAGAGTCTCACAGACTAGTCTCACAGACTTTCCTGCCCAGGCTGGCTTTGAACCATGATTCTCAGATCTCAGCCTCCTGAGTAGCTAGGATTACAGGTGTGAGCCACTGGCACTGGGCCCATGAGACTCTTATCTCCAATAAAACCACTAGAAAACTGGAAGTGGCGCAGTGGCTCAAGCGGTAGAATGCTCACCTTGAGGTGAAGAGTTGAGGGATAGTGCACAAGCCCAGAGTTCAAGCCGCAGGACTGACAAAAAGAAAAAAAAGAAAGAAAGAAACATTATGAAGTATTTTTGTTTAATTTTCATGTTAGGCTTCAACTGTGTATATATTATGTAAACATACCAGATTAACCTTTGTTGTTTGTATTAATGCAGTTGAAAGTCATAGATGACCAGTTATAAACTATCACACTGTAAATGCAAAATTGGTAAGAGGCAATCTTTATTGAAAGCATTAAAAAAATTCTTAATAAAAGACAACTGGCATTGCCCTAATTTTTTTGTAAAAATTGTCTCCTTTTTCCCTTCTGAATGGTACCTTTCTACAGAAAGTTAATACATAAATATATTTAAAGCATTTTTACTTAGGTTAGCCTTTTACATGGCTGCTTTCTCTTCTGATACATTGCATCTTTTTAAAGGCACCAAAATTAAGAGTTCTTAGATTCATATTTTTGTCCCTTTTTAGATTCTACTAGAATTTTTCAGAAGGGCAACTCTAAGAACTTCAGGAACCAGAGGAAATGAATACTATGACAGAACAACTTGAGACCTAGCATTCAAAAGGTCTAAATATATTAATAGGTTCCTTGATTTTGAATCAGGACAAAAAGTAGAATAGCTTTCTGAACATAAAAGTAAACAGAGAGCACATTTATTAATGGTAGGAAAACTCCTTATAGTGACAATGTATAAATCTTACATAATAAACACAGCCAAAAGCATTACGAACAAAAATACCTTGCCAAATATTCTGATGTATTATCCTGAAAACCCATCCCATACCTTCCATTAACATTTAACTAAGTATGGAATTTATTTCACAGGGAAAAAAAAAAACATCACAAAAACATACTTACTGGTATTCAGCTTTGATCAAGTTCTAGAGTTACAGCTTCAAGATTTTTTTTAAAAAAAGATCCACCTTAAAATAAGTCTTCATATAATCCATTATTAATACTCTGTGTCTTTTCAACATGAAACACTTAGAAACCTTTGAACTCTAGAAATTTTGGTCAGCTAACCTAGTTGAATGTTTTCTAAATTCCCCTTCCAGTGTCCCGCTGGTTTTCAGTCCATCTGCCCAGTATGGAAGGAGCGATTCTATTTCTTTTTCCTCTTACTTGGTGGCTCATCCTCAGAGCTGCTATCTGTGCTGCTGCTGCTACTGGAAGAACTGGAGTCTGAGTCTGAATCTGAATCAGAGGAGGAGGACGAGGAGGTGGTGTATGAGTCCGAGGAGGAGGAGGAAGAAGAGCTCTCATCTGTGTCACTGTCCTCTGAGGAGGATGAGGTAGAGGTTTCTTCACTTTCTGATGAAGAATCACTGTCTGAACTGTCACTGCTGTTGCTACTGGAACTAGTTACACTCTTAGACCTATTAGACAATGAATGTTATATAGTAAGCCCCCTTGCTCCTGGATTTATTACATGTAGTTTGACTAAGTATAATAAAGTAATAATTTAATTAAAAACTTAAATAGAAGTGTTTCGTTCCCATGCACACATTACACGGCTGAGCTTATATGAAGAAGTACATTCTCAGCAGGCCCATGTGATGGTTGCGTTGTGTTTAAATCACTGTGTGATTTGCTGAGTATTTTCTGCCCTGAATTTTATGGAAATCTGCCTCCCAAAACAGCAAATGGTACCCCAAAGCAAGCTCAAAGTTCATGTGTCTGGTGTTAAAGGGAAAATGGAATATTTGAGGGCAGTAGTGAACTCACATCTTGAGCATCTGCTGTCTTTCAAGTCAGTTTCATTGAAAGCCATGTCCCCATGAATACCAAGGCCTTGCTACATACATGGGGAGCTGTTATTCAACAGTGTTTAAAAAAATCTCACATAATACTGTGTATGTATATCTTGAAGTATTGCTAGAATGTTAGCTCTAGGATTGATGTTCTTTCTATTGCCTAACTCCGGCTAAGAGTTGCTAAATTAACCAGAGACCTTGTAAAAGGAGGTCTCTGATTAATTTAGCAACTCTTAGCCTGAATTACCAAAAGAGAATTAGTGTATTATGCTTTAGAGTAAAGGATATTAGAATACAGCTGCAGTATAACCACTGGAACTATTTAAACATCACATAGAGTGGTGAATGTTTCTTCTTTTTACTTTTTCTTATTTTGCAGTGCTGGGGACAGAATTTAGGGTCTCATGCAAACTAGGCATGTACCCTACCCATAAGCCACACCCCTAGTCTTATATATTCCTTATTTATAACTACTTCAGAACAGATAAGAGCTGCCCAACAGTTTCTTAGTATTTCAATAACATTTTCAAGATAAGACAGTATCGACTATTTCTAGGTATAAAGACTCTAGAAATATGTAGAAAAAGGTCCTGAAATCCTAGATACTCAAGAGACTGAGATCTACCCAGCTAGCCTGGGCAACAAAAAGTCAGGGGGATTCATCTCCAAAAAAAAAAAAAAGCCAGAAATATAGATGTGTCTCAAGTAGTAGAGCACCTGCCTTGAGGAGAAAAAGCTAAGCAAGAACACAAGGACTTGAGTTCAAGCCTCAGTACTGGTAAAGGAAAAAGGAAAAATGGATATAGAAAAGGAGAAATGGAGGCAATGATTTATAGATAAGAAGAGGACAATATCAGAAAGTAGGATGATACTCAAAAGACTTCATATCCAAACCTTTTAACTATTTATTTTAAAGTCCTGTCCCTCCAACTAGTATTACACGTTACCTACATAATACTTTTTTTTTTTTTTGGGTCCGGTTGTGGGGCCTGAACTCTGGGCCTGGGCGCTGTCCCTCAGCTCTTCAGCTCAAGGCTAGCACTCTACCACTTGAGCCATAGTGCCACTTCTGGCTTTTTTCTTTTTGCTTATGTGGTGCTGAGGAATTGAACCCAGGGCCTCGAGCATGCAAGGCAAGCGCTCTACCACTGAGCCACCTTCCCAGCCCTACATAATACTCTTGAAGCCACACGTACCTTTTGTTCTTGTTCTTTCTTTCTACATTAGTTTCTCCAATGCTGATAGAAGAGGAAAAAAACTCCTGTTAATAATGCTATACACAAATCAAAAAACCCTTCTGCCATTCTCAGAATTGTTTTACACTGGAGAAACACACCATCTTTCATAATAATATGTTCTCAGAATACAGTATTACTTGCTACAACCACATGGAAAGTTTCCCATTGTAGGCTATATATGGTACAGGCAGTCCACTTAATTATCATTTAAGCAATCAATTTTATCACTTGTACCTTTCAGAGACAGGTAAGTTAATAATTAAGATGACTGAATGCACAAATCTAATTCTTTTTAACTTTGGGAGTTAGGTTATCTATTTAAATGAACAAACAAAGCAAAATAATAATGTAATTGTTATAATTTGAGTCCCCAGAAACATAGTGTAAATGATTAGCTCATATTTTTTAAAAAGCAAATTTAACCTTTTTCCGTATGTCTTCCAAATTTTCAGTTACTTATTTAAAGCCAAAAAATTGGGTACTTCAGGACTATAATTTCTTATACATCTTATAAAGAGCGAAGTTTTAGAATGAAATGTACAAATGGCCTTAAATAGTATACACAATATTTAAGTTGTCAAATTACACAATTACTTCTATTACTACAATACTGGCTGGTAAATTTAACGTTTCTACTTTCTGAATTTCTCTATATTCCCTACATAAAGCTTCCATTCTTATTCCAAATGTTCTTATATAATTATTTTTATACAATGGAATCACTGACTTGTAATTTCTGCTGTAAAATCAATTGTAGAAGTACATTTACTAAATTATATAAGAATTTGTGCCAGGTAATGGTGGCTCCCATCTGTAATGCTAGCTATGCAGAGGCTGAGATCTGAGGTTTGTGGCTCAAAGCCAGCCTGGGCAGGAAAGTCCATTAGACTCTTATCTCCAATTAACCACTAGAAAACTGGAAGTTGTGCCGTGGTTCAAAGTGGTAGAGTGCTATTCTTGAGCTGAAAAAGTTCAGAGACAGCAGCACTCGGGCTTTGAGTTCAAGCCCCACAACCACCACCACCAACAACAAAACTATGATCACTGAACCAGAAAATCAGCAGTCTCTAACAGATCCAAATCTAAAATTCATGTCATTCTATGTTTGTGGTTCTGGGAATCAAACTTAGGGCTTTATGCATGTTACAAGCCATCAACAGGGAGTATACTCTCAGCCGTATTGATCTTATATCCAAAGGAAACTAAAATACTACAATTTGATACCTACCTCATATATGAACAAGTTTGTCTTTAATAGATGGTACTTTCACACTGTTCTTTTCCCTTTGTACTTTTATCCCACTTTCCCAATATATTTTATGTCTACAAGTTTTAGTGATCACTTAAGACACTTCAATAGTATGTAGAATATCTGAACTTTTACCTTTTCAGTACCTGAGATCATAAGGCTTTACCAGTTTTTTTAGAACTTAATAGACAGCTTTTCTTTATAAGGTAATTCATGCTCCAGTGAATTCTTCACAACAGTGTAGATTGGTTAAAAACATTTAAACAGTGTTTTTTAGGTTAAATTTCAAATGTATGACATGGATCCATAGCTTTCTAAATAAGGAGGCTTATTAATGCCTTTAAATGACTACATGTCATGCTTGGAAGATTAACATTATCTACCAAGAAGGAATTAAGGGATGAGGGAGCACAGTTTATGTGCTTTAGAGTGTGCTGAAAATAGTCATCACATGTAAGGAAATGTTCACAACTAAAGCACAGAGAGAAACAAGTAATAATGTATGGTAACACATTCTTGTAATAATGACCACTTAATGGATCATGAATGATCAAAAGGTTAGCTTCCAGGGGGCAATCTGGGATTTTTAGATAGAATGACCTGATTTTGTGTGTCAGTGGCCTAGATCTTAAGTTACAGCATGAGATCTACTCTGGTTAAAGCGTTTACTGTGAACACTGGTGGCTCATGCCTGTAATCCTAATTACTCAAGGGACTATGATCTGAGGATCACAGTTTAAAACCACTCCAGGAATGGAAAGTTTCATGAGATTTCAATTAACCACATAAAAAAGAAAAAAAAGAAAAAAAGGTCATAAGTCAAGCTGTAGCTCAAGTAGTAGAGTGGGAACCTTGAGCAAAAAGCTCAGGGACAGTGTCTAGGCCCTGAGTTTAAGCCCCAGGACTGGTACAAAAAGTAGACAAAAGAATTTGTCTTTGGAAAAAGCATATGTAGGGGCTGGAAAGGTGGCTTAGTGGTAGAGTTCTTTCCTTGCTTGCATGAGGCCCTGGGTTCAATTCCTCAGCACCACATAAGCAGAAAAAGCTGGAAGTGAGGCTGAGGCTTAAGTGGTAGAGCGCTAGCCTTCAGCTGAAGAGTTGAGGGACAGCGCCCAGGCCCAGAGTTCAGGCCCCATGACCAAAAAAGAAAAAAAAAATAATAAGCATATATGAATGTTAATTTTCCAGGAATGGTTTATTCCTGCCTGATCCCCTTAGAGCTTTCAGTGCACAGATTCAAAGACTACCACCATAGAAGTCCAGATGTTTATTATACTATAATATATAGTTAACAGTCCTCACCAAAATGCTACTTCTAATATATAACACTAAGGAAACCCAACATCTTCCTATTTCAGCTTCTCTAAAACATACATTTCATAGGAAGTTTAAAAAGGTTCATTCAAAGCCGGGAGCTGGCGGCTCATGTCTGTAATCCTAGCTACTCAGGAGGCTGAGAACTGAGGATCACCATTCAAAGCCAGCCCAGGCAGGAAAGTCCCTGAGACTCCTATCTCCAATAAACCACCAGAAAACTGGGAGTGGCGCTGTAGCTCAAGTGGTAGAGCACTCGCCTTGAGCTGAAGAGCTGAGGGACAGCACCAGGCCCAGAGTTCAAGCCCCACAACTGACCAAAGAAAAAAAAAAGGTTCATTCAAGCGAGGTACTGGTGGCTCATGCCTGTAATCCTAGTTACTCAGGAAGCAGACATCTGAGGATAGTGGTTCAAAGCCAGCTTGGGCTTATCTCCAATTAACCACCTAAAAACTGGAAGTGGAACAAGGACTCAGAGTGCTAGCCTTGAGCAAAAAAGCTCAGAGACAGTGCCTAGGCCCTGAGTTCAAGCCCCATGACCATCAAAATAAAAAAAAAAAAAAAAAACCTTCATTCAAAGAATATAAAAGAGTAAGTAATGTTCTAGTCTCCCTCCTATCTATTCTCCTTCTAAGGAATAACCACTGCTATCCACCACTTATAATTTTGAAAAAATTCCACTATTCTTTGCTTCCTTAACATAAATCAAAGTATATTATATACACTAGTCTCTATTTTGTTTATATATTTGATGGCTTTTCCTATCTGCTGATTTTTCCCAACTCAGTGTTATCTGTTGTCACTTCACTGATAGTTAGGCAATAAAGCAACATAATTAAGACCATGGGGTACAGGCTGGTTGTTCAACTGGACTTGTGTGACACTGACTCACTAACTCTGGGTTCCCTTTCTTCATATGTAAACTGAGGGTAACGGCAGTACTTACCTTAATAGGACAGATTTGAGTTTTAACTAAGCTAATTCATGCAAAGTATTTAGTATGGTTCCTGGCATATAGTAAGCATTCATTAAAAACTAGTTAACAATGTTCAAGAGGAAGTGTACTCATTACCTCACTCATGTAACTGTAACCCTCTGTATAGTATCTTTACAATAAAAAAAGAAAAAAAAACTAGTTAAGAGTTAAGATTATAATTAAAATCTAGAGAACTACCACGAAACAGTAAACTATAAATGAATAAAATATAAATAATAGTCCTATAAACCTACCTTTGTTGTAATAATCTATTTTCTTTCTCTTTTAAAGCTTTCTTTAGTTCTGCTGTTCTTGAAGGCCTATGTAGATATTTTCTTTTACCTGTGCATTCATAAGTCCAATGTCCAAATTCCAAGCATTTCTGACATCTTACATGTTGCTTATTTGCTTCACTACAAAGCAAAAAAATGGAATATAAGTCTTAGAATTCTGCCTGGTGACACTTTTTGCCCTGAAAAACATAAACAACATGAAGTACAAAATGTCTATTGTCAGCCGGGCGTTGGTGGCTCACGCCTGTAATCCTAACTACTCAGGAGGCTGAGATCTGAGGATCGCGGTTCAAAGCCAGCCCAGGCAGGAGAGACCGTGAGACTCCTATCTCCAATAAACCACCAGATAACTGGAAGTGGCGCTGTAGCTCAAGTGGTAGAGCGCTTGCCTTGAGCTGAAGAGCTGAGGGACAGCGCCCAGGCCCAGAGTTCAAGCCCCACGACCGACAAAAAAAAAAATGTCTATTGTCATGACTAAGGCACAGAAGGTATAATAAGTAGTTCAAAGCATAAACTTTGCAGTTACATAGAAGTGAGCTTGAATCTATTTTATTTTTATTTTATTTTTTTGGTCAGTCATGGGGCTTGAACTCTGGGCCTGGGCTCTGTCCCTGAGCTCTTCAGCTCAAGGCAAGTGCTTTACCACTTGAGCCACAGCATCACTTCTGGTTTTCTCATGGTTAATTGGAGTTAAGAGTCTCATTGACTTTCCTGTCCAGTCTGGCTTTGAACTGTGATCTTTAGATCTCAGCCTCCTGTATAGCTAGGAATACAGATGTATGCCACCAGCACCGGCTTAAGCTTGAATCTTGACTCCTCACTCTATCTCAGTAATGACAGATTAGGTAATGGAGAGTAATTCACTCAGAACCACAAAAGAATAGTCAAAACATTTTTATATTTATTTTTGCTGTGCCAGAGATCAAACCTAAAAAAATAAACATCTAAAATCTAGAGCCTTGCGTATACTAGGCAAGCACTTAACACTGTGCTTTGCTAGAAGAATCAGAGAATTAACAAGGGGATAAAGAAGAGAATGGAAATTTACAATTAAACCAACTGGAGGTGTTTGCCCATCACAAGAGGGTGCTATAAATGTTGTGTCTATAGAGTTAAGACTCTGAAAGGCTATACCGTATGAAAAAACCAAATGATACTGGAAATATGGCTCAAGTGGCAGAGCACCAGCCATGAGCAGGCAAGTCAAGAATGAAAGGCTCTCAGATCAACCCCCAATTCTGGCATTGCATGTGCGCGTGCGCACGCGTGTGCGCGCGCGTGCACACACACACACACACACACACACACACACACAGTGCAGCCTAGCTTCTTGACATCTGTAAGACTTGCAAAAATGTGAATCTCTAAATTGGACTTGAGATATAGCTAGAAAAGAAAAGTGGTTATAAGATGGAAATGAATAAACTATATTCATTGTTGATGGTATATTATGCACATAGCATATTCGAAAGAACCTATAAATAAGATATTCCAGAATAATCAGAGTTACTAAGCAAATTTAGGAAAGGTTTTGCATCAGGGCAGGCAAATGTTTCTGTGAAAGGTCACACTGTACATATTCAAGATTTGTAGAACAGGAGGCAAAATTATGGAAATTGTATAGTTACCTAAATAACGAAAAAGAAAGCAAGTTTTCTAAGTATTTATTGATAGAAATAAAAACATAATATAACATGAGTATAATTGTATAGTAAAAACCCACTGATATGAAGAGAGGACAGTCCAAATATTTTTATTTTTTGGCAATGATAGAAATCAAACCCAAGGCCTTGTGCATGCTAGAAAAGCAACATAACCCTGGGCTATACCCCTAATCCAGTCAAAACAGTTTTAACAATCTGCTTGAGAACTCACAGAATAAACATGGGAAGAAGGAACCACCAAGCCAAGTACTGATGACACATGCCTGTAATCTTAGCTACTCAGGAGGCTGAGATTTGAGGCTCATGGTTCAAAGCCAGACCAGGCAGGAATGTCCGTGAGACCCTTATCTCCAATTAACCACCAGAAAACAAGAAGTGGCACTGTGGCTCAAGTGGTAGAGTGATAGCCTTGAGCTGAAGAGCTAAGGGACAGCGCCCAGGCCCAGAGTTCAAGACCCACAACTGACAAAAAAAAAAAAACTACCAAGACAAGATACGAAAGAAAAGAGGATATTTTACACAGCTGAGGTCCCCATGAACAAACTGGTCATGTATACATATACACATACGTATATATACATATATAAAATATTCTTTGCCTAAGTGTTAAGAACCTTCAAAAACAGGTATATGATAAGGCAGTGGCTCATGTCTGTAATCCCCAATATTCAGGAAATAGAGGCAGGAGGCTTGAGTTTGAGGTGAGGTGGGCTACACAGTGAGCTTTTATCTCAAACAAAACAAAAACAAGCACTGGTAAGCAGAGTTTAATGGACCATGTACTAACAACAGCAAAAGACATTGCTTTGTAAAAATAAAAGAGCAAGAATACACAAATAAGGGCTGGGAAGGTGGCTCAGTGGTAAGAATGGTTGCCTTGCATGCATGAGGCCCTGGGTTCAATTCCTCAGCACCACATAAGCAGAAAAAGCCGGAAGTGGCACTGTGTCTCAAGTGGTAGAATGCTAACCTTGAGCTGAAGAGCTCAGGGACAGCGCCCAGACCCAGAGTTCAGGCCCCACGACTGACAAAAAAAAAAAAAAAAGAATACACAAATAAGCCAATGAAAAGTAGTCTAGAAATGCATATACATATCATACTCATATACAAAAATAATGTACAGGGCCTGGGAATGTGCTTAGTGGTAGAGTGCTTGTCTAGGATCCATGAAGTCCTAGGTTAGATTCCTCAGTACCACATAAACAGAAAAAGCCAGAAGTAGCACTGTGGCTCAAGTGGTAGAGTGCTAGCCTTGAGCAAAAGAAGCTAAGGGACAGTGCCCAGGTCCAGAATTCAACTCCTACAACCGACACACGCACACAAAAAAAAGTATAAAGAAAATTTACATAAATGAGTTATAAGTCCTTAAAAAAAAAAAAAGCAGGGGCTGGGAAGGTGGCTCAGTGGTAGAGTACTTGCCTTGCATGCATGAGACCCTGGGTTCGATTCCACAGCACCACATAAGCAGAAAAAGCTGGAAGTGGCGCTTTGGCTCAAGTGGTAGGGTGCTAGCGTTGAGCTGAAGAGCTGAGGAACAGTGCTCAGAGTTCAGGCCCCATGACCGACAAAAAAAAAAAAAAGCAGCTGGGCTCTGGTGGCTTAGGCCTGTAATCCTAGCTGCTTAGAACGCTAAGATCTGAGGATCCCAGTTCAAAGCCAGCCTGGGAAGGAAAGTCCATTAGACTCTTATCTACAATTAACCATCAGAAAACCAAAAGTGATGCTGTAGCTCAAGTGGTAGAGCACTAGCCTTGAAAGAGCTCATGTACAGCTCCCAGGCCCTAAGTTCAAGCCTCACAACTGACAAAAAAAAAAAAAATTACATTAGAAATACAGGATTGGGAAACACAAGTGAACATTAAACATATGAAAAAGTGTTCATTAGAAATCAACAAATAGAGCCAGGTGCTGGTGGCTCACACCTGTAATCCTAGCTACTCAGCAGGCTGATCTGAGGATCGAGGTTCAAAGCCAGCCTGGGCAGGAAAGTCCATGAGACTCTTATCTCCAAAGCCAGAAGTGGCGCTATGGCTCAAGTGGTAGAGCACTTGCCTTGAGCTGAAGAGCTGAGGGACAGCATCCAGGCCCAGAGTTCAAGCCCCACGACCAACACCCCCCCCCTTAAAAAAAGAAATCAACAAATAGCAAACTAAAGCTCTCATATAATACTAGTAGAAAACTAAAATTGAAATTTAGCAATAGCAAATGTTAGCAAACAAGAACACTCATCCAATGTTGGTCAGAATACAAACTGAGAGCAGACACTAGTGACTCACATCTGTAATCATCACTGTTCAGGAGGCTGAAATCTGAGGATGCAGGTCAAAGCCAGCATAGGCAGGAAAGTCCATCGGCCTCTCATCTCCAATTAACCACCATAGAAGCTAGAAGTGGAGCTGTAAATTCAAGAGGTACAGCACTACCCTTGAGCAAAAAAAAGGTCAGGGATAGCGCTCAAGACGCTAAGTTCAAGCCCCAGGCTGGCACATAAAAAATACAAACTGGTATAACTATTTCAAAAAAATTAAATCCATCATAATACAGAATATGCATATTTTATGGCCCAGCATCTCCACTTCTAAGTACTTAAAACAGAAGCCCACACAGAACTATGTCAGGAAATAAGCATAGGAATATTGTTGTCCTGGCTGGGGATACAGCTGAATGGCAACACCTGCTTATTAATAAATGCATAAGGCCTTGGGTTAGACCCCCACAATGAGAGATAGGGAGAAGAGAAAATGAAATGAATATCACCTTTCCTTTATGTACCCTTTCAAAACTTTGAAATATCACATCCTCTCCAAGTAATTTTCACAGTATAAATTACTTAAACCTTAAGTAGAGTTTAGATAACTATTTTTCCTGTCCTTTTTAATCCAGTTTCTCATTAATCCAAAATATATTACTGCTTATTTTCTATTAACTAGGACATTCTCCTGCGTAATGACAAAAATGACCTAAGAATCAATAAATCAATGTTGACTTATTCCTACTATTTAATCTTTTGTTGTTGTTGTTGTTGTTGGTCGTGGGGCCTGAACTCTGGGCCTGGGTGCTGTCCCTCAGTCTTCAGCTCAAGACTAGCACTTTACCACTTGAGCCACAGCCCCACTTCCGGCTTTTTCTGCTTATGTGGTGCTGAGGAATCAAACCCAGAGCCTCATGCATGCAAGACAAGCACTCTACCACTGAGCCACTTTCCCAGCCCCTACTATTTAATCTTTAGACATTGTTTACATTTGATCAAATGTCACAATAATGCCATTTATAAAAAGTTCAGTACAGCACCAATTTTTGCACTTGCCTCCTGTTTAGTATCTTTCAGTCTGGGAGAGTTCCTCACTCACATCTTCATTTTTCTGACCTTGACATTGTTAGAATATTACAGACCAGTTATTTTGTAGAACATGCTTCTATTTGAGTTGGAGGATTTTTTTTTCCTCCAAGATCACT